AGCAGTCACACGACACTCCCATGGGTATCTCAGCCCATGCAGCTTCAGCTAGACCATGTAACCTGATAGTCACAATCCATGTAGGGCCTGGTGGCTCACCCAATCATGTGGGTAAGCATCGTTTTGGTTTTTCTTTCAGCGTCCCCAAGACTTTATCTTCACAATGGTTCCTCTACCTGCCTTACTATTTGTTCCTCAGACTGAAGCTTCAGCCTCCAGACAGATAGCCTCCACCAGAGAATAGCAGGTGCTGGCACACCCAAGTGCCATTATTAGCTATTCCATCAGGCCCTCTATTATTTGGGTCCTCAGTGTGAGTCTGTGTAACTGAAGAGGAACATCTCTTGTGCTCCAAACCCACCTCTCCACCCACAGACCGCACTATGGACAGCCATGAGGGGAGAGGAACCTGACAAGATCATTTGGTTTCTACTAGAGAGTATGGCTAGGGGAGGGGATGCAGCAGTCTCCATTTTCCCCTGGAGCCGGGTAGGGTGAGATGAGGGAGCCTCTTTCCCTCTCTGCCACCCTGGAAGGGAGAGGGAATCAAACAGGAGAATAGAGGTTCCTGTGGGAAAAAGGAGTTAGATAAGGGACTCCCCACCAGACAATTCTTCTCCCCATCAGGTGCTGCTCCCCCTACTGGCAGGTAAGGGCAGGAGTCAGCAAACAAATACTCCAGCCACCAAAAAAACAAACAAACAAACAAAAAAACAGACCAGCTTCCTCCTCTGGCTCCATAACTCCAAAATCTCCCTCCTGGTGTGTCCCTTTTTCACCAGGAGAAGAAGCAGCAAGAAGAGGGAGCTGATCTCCCCTAAATTCAGGAGAACACATGGAAGGGGAACTCTCCCTCTGCTTACAGCAGAGGGGAGGAAGATGCACCCCTCACACTTCTGCTTATTCAAAGCCCTTCTGATATCCTAAGTGGAGCTAGAATAAACTGCTCCTGCCACAAGGAGTCAGCAGAAATTGCAGCAGCTTTAATACAAGGTTCGAATACCTGCCAATAGAGTGAGTCAACCAAAAAGCTCTGCCTCTCTGTTACAAGGCTGTAAGGGTTATTTTAAGGTGGCACAGAAACAAATTAAATGAAATAGCACCAGTGCTTAATTTGTAATGAGAGGTGTGCCGGGGCTCCAGCAATTTTTTTACTTTCATAACTGACGCAACAAGCCTAGAGGTGCTGGGGCTATGAACTCCCAAGCCTAGAGGTGCCGGGGCTCAGCCCCAGCAAGCCCTGGCACAAATTAAGCACTGAATTGCACTATCTGGAATTCCACAGCCATTAGTAAGATCATCAGAGACTATGATTGCTTCCCCTTATTAACTAAAGACAGCTGGAACTGTTGTACAGTTCCTAAAAAGAGGCACATTTGTGACTATAATGCTTGTCCCAAGCTAAAGTACTTGCCTGAAAGAAAAAAATATATAAATCAGCAAATAGTTTTTACGGGAAATAGGTGGGGAGTGGGCAAAGCGTTTGTGCTGAAATTCTAGAAGAAAAGTAAACTTTCTGGGAAAGACAGAATTATTATTTTTTGTTTGTTCTCGAACTTTGCCCAGGAGCCTCGGGCTTATTCATCAGTGCAGCCGTTGGATGTGGACCTACTGTTCGTGAGCGTATGATTGGACAGAAAATCCTCTCCCTGGCTTTATTAGCTCTGCTTATGACAGAATGCCAGTCAATCATTGTGAAAATGGGAGAGCGAGTCAAATGGCAGTTTCTCTAATACCATTTGCTTTAGCCCCGAACGATTCTTCCTAAGTAAATCAAAAGAGCCCATCTACACTAGTACGCCCCTGCATGTGAAATTTAGTAGTACGTATGGTTTAAATACATGGTATCTCTCTACAGCTTTTAACAATTATTTGGTTTGCTGGAAGGCACCTCTAGTTTCTTTTTCCTTCTGTTTAGACAATGTTACTTGGATAAGCAGCATATCCCTCCTATTCCATTTCAGTGGTTTAATTTTAATTTAGAAAGCATTTAAATTCATTATTTCACAACACAGGCTGTTCATACACACACAATTATGTTTCATTACATGAGAATTTATCTTCTCCATTAAATCAATTGCCATAGCCTTCGTTCATTACACATTACCATATCACATTTGATTTCTGTCAGAGAGCTGTTGCCTTCTGCAGTAAATCAAAGTGACAGAGATTGTTAGTTTCCTTACTCATCTATCTACAGTCTCCTATTCAAGCCTGTCTACCCTTCTTTTCAGTAAAACTAGGATTTCCCCTAGTAACTGTATTTCACAACTGGGGAGGTTTTCATAAATGGAAAAAATGCAGTATGCATAATCCAGGAAGCTATTGAAATGTACAGTATCAGAAACATATGGCTACAGGAAATACCTTGGCAGTAAGAGGCTGGGAATGAGAGAACAGTCATCAAGAAAACTCTCTTGACTAAAGGGAGACTTTGCTTTAACAATTTAAATATTTTTAAATGCACACTAAAACTTTGCCTAGGCGATGCACAAAAATTGGATGCTGCTTGAGATTAAGGAGGAAAGTGGAACACAGAATGACCCACATAACATTCTGGGATGTTATAGTAGATGGCTTTACTACTGTTCTTTAATTATCTGTATCTTAAATACTGAAATCCTTGGAGTCAGAGAAACCCTCAACAGGCAAAAATTAAAAAAGGGTGACTTCTTTCTCAGTTAGTAGTATGAAAGGAGTGACTAGACACGGAGTTTATTTTATACTAATAAAAAAAATGAACAGTGCAGACTCTCACAGTTAACATTGCCCCTGCCCCGCCCCCAAACCCCAGAAAAATATCTTCATGATCAAGGAACTTTAAAATAAAATGAGATCCATTATACCAGTGGATCTAAACCTTTTCTATCCAAGACCTTCCACCCTCAACCTAGCAAGGTGGGAAGGGCAGGGTGGTCACAACCCCAATACATGTTCATGACCACCAGACTGAAAACCCCTGCACTAGATCATTTCATTCAACACCCCCACAATGCTACTGCAGGCAATTCCTAGCATGAGGCAGTATTAGATATTAAACCAATATACTTAATTTCAGCCAAAAAGGGAGATTTCTAGAAAGATCAAGGGAAAATCGGCTGCATCATGATAGCAAAGAAATTGCCATTTTAAATATAATTTAATAAAAGGATTCCCATAACCAAGGAGCCCATCTCTTTCTGCTATGGAATTCTACTTAGACGACATGATTCTGGCATTTTATTGCTGCACTGTCATGTCCTGTCATGCCCATGTATATTTCAGGATGCTTTTAATGAAACTTCAGAATGCAGGAGGCGCAGTCAAAAGCTGAGTGGGTAGTAGCTCTAACAGATTTTACATATATGTATCTAAAATCCTCACCCCACATTCTACGTGACGATCCGGTGAAAATGTGAAAAATCACTCCGCCCCTTTTTTGTGAACTGGAAAAGGTAAATGATTTGTTTCTCTCCGTTTTTCATAGCAGTTTGCCCATTAATATTTAAAAAGCACAAAATATTCATAACCATTAGCACAACAAAGGAGAATCGCCCCTGTGGAACATAAGGCCCCCCGACCCTAGGGGCTGAACTACATGCCTGCCTTAAAAAATATTCCTATACTTTGCACAGAATCAATAAAATTGACAAGGATCCATCACTACAAAGTTATCTTCCATGACTGACCTATGTGTGTAAACAGTTAAATTACATTTCAGCTTCCACAGATCATTTCTCTTACATTTCAGAACAAACAACTTCTGAAAAGGCAAAAAAGGTTTAAAAAGCTTTCTGCGGGGTCTAGAAATGCAAACGGTCAAGTGTTTTATCTCATGTTCCTAACGGTTATTTGGGAGATATTTTCCAAGTGCACTGTTTGAAACAGAATACAAACATGCGAACCCAGTCCAACGGTTTACCAGTTGTACCGCAAGACTTTATGGGGCATTCAAACATGAGACTCAAACTTAGTCTTTCACTCTGGAGGCCAGCAGCAACTGGGAGTGGTTCAGAGATAGCCCACTCAGCCCTGGCGGGAGAGAGTGCCTCATTTTGCTGTGCAATGATCACTTCTAGTCAGTTCAGGAGCAATAAAAACCGATTCCACAGAGAGTCCTATCCAGCCCTTCTTAGATAGAAAGACATTTCAGCACATCACAAAGCTTTGGAGGGTGGGGTGAATGAAGGAGAAGATAAAGGACAAGTATTACAGGTACTTAAACTGATTTTTTGAAAATAGGACTCCGGAAAATGCAGCTTATCTACTGAAATGCTATAGCTCCATTGAGCCAACCTCAAACACGACTCCTCCCTTTAGAATGAGCACTGATCACTTGCATTTGGGTGTGTGTTGAAGTGTTCACATTTCCATTCTGTTTGTATACTAGTCACACTCTCCTGCTTTTTAGAAGCATATCTCCACAGGGGCATGACACTCTCACCACTCCTTACTCAGAAGCTGCAGGCTAGCTGGAAAAGTGTCAGGTGGAACATAGCTGAATTAAGATTCAAATGAATTAGGAAGACAGAGGTATCTCATTCATTCGTCCCTCAGTTGTTTTTTTAAAAATCACCTACAGTGACTGATGACTAGAGACATATTGTTGCTGTAGAATTGAGAGACCAATCCTCAACTGGTGTAGGTTAATGTAGCTCTATTGACGTCAATGGAGCTTGCCAATTTCAACCAGGATCTAGCCCATAAAGTACAAAAAAGTCACAGATGGAAGGTCCAGCAACACATAAAAATAGGATAGGGAGAGGATCGGTAACTCATTCAAAAGAGCAAAATGACTAACCACGGTCTTGAGTCCACACCATGAACAGTGAGAATGATCTAATGCTAACTTTTGGTGCCATGCATCAGGATTAAAGCAATAGCACAGAAAGAGATGAGCTGAAAGCACTGAAGAGGTTTAAAGTCTCATTTAATGGGAGCACCAAAACTGCAGTCATTTTCATTAAATTGTACATCTTCTCAGACCTATTTGCAAAGCACTGGCTAGCGCCTTCCCTTACCTTTGCTCCGTGTTAAACAAGGCAAAAATATGTTTGCTAGACATGAAGCTTTTTTCAACATCCCGCACTTTCAGGTTGTCCAAGGGAAGCATGTACTTCTTTTCCTTTTCCTATTAAAAATAAATAAAACCACAAATACTGTAATATGTTTCAAAGAAAGCAGACATGAGCATGCTCTAGTTTAGTTAGCGACTATTCTGTTTACTACCTTGACATCAACACTGTTATCAAAGACTAAAGGAATACCTAAAACAAATTATCTTACTCATAGTTGGGTGAGCTTGGGTGCGTACCAAATGATATAGCCTTCCATCCCTTTCTTTCAGTTAGCTGGAGGACAGTATGATGTGGGACCCTATTCCATTCAACTAATCATGTAGGGACAGGTTCTGTCACTTGTACTCAGTTTCAGTAAATGTTAATCAGAGATTATTTATGGTAGATGAGAATTGTCAGGATCCTGACAAGAGGAAGAAAGGACAGTAGCAAAATACGGACCCTGGACTTCAGAAAAGCAGACTTAGACTCCCATAGGGAACTGATGGGTAGGATCCCCTGAGAGGCTAATATGAAGGGGAAAGGAGTCCAGGAGAGGTAGCTGTATTTTAAAGAAACCTTATTGAGGGAGCAGGAACAAACCATCCCAATGTGCAGAAAGAATAGCAAATATGGCAAGCGACCAGCTTGGCTTAACAGTGAAATCTTCAGTGAGCTTAAACTCAAAAAGGAAGCTTACAAGAAGTGGAAATTTGGACAGATGACTAGGGAGGAGTATAAAAATATTGCTAAGGCATGCAGGGGTGTAATCAGGAAGGCCAAGGCACAATTGGAGTTGCAGCTAGCAAAGGATGTGAAGGGTAACAAGAAGGGTTTCTACAGGTATGTTAGCAACAAGAAGGTGGTCAGGGAAAGTGTGGGACCCTTACTGAATGAGGGAGGCAACATAGTGACAGATTATGTGGAAAAAACTGAAGTACTCAATGCTTCTTTTGCCTCAGTCTTCACGGACAAGATCAGTTCCCAGACTGCTGCACTGGGCAACACAGTATGGGGAGGAGGTGAGCAGCCCTCAGTGGTGAAAGAACAGGTTAAAGACTATTTAAAAAAGCTGGACATGCACAAGTCCATGGGTCCAGATCCAATATATCCAAGAGTGCTGAGGGAGTTGGCTGATGTGATTGCAAAGCCATTGTCCATTATCTTTGAAAATTCGTGGCGATCGGGGGAGGTCCCAGACTATTGGAAAAAGGCAAATAGAGTGCCCATATTTAAAAAAGGGAAGAAAGAACCCAGGGAACTACAGGCCAGTCAGCCTCTCCTCAGTCCCTGGAAAAATCATGGAGCAGGTCCTCAAGGAATCCATTTTGAAGCACTTGGAGGAGAGGAAGGTGATCAGGAACAGTCAACATGGATTCACCAAGGGCAAGTCATGCCTGACCAACCTGATTGCCTTCTATGATGAGATAACTGGCTCTGTGGATATGGGGAACACGGTGGATGTGATATATCTTGACTTTAGCAAAGCTTTTGATACGGTCTCCCACAGTATTCTTGCCAGCAAGTTAAAAAGTATGGATTGGATGAATGGACTATAAGGTGGATAGAAAGCTGGCTAGATTGTCGGGCTCAACGGGTAGTGATCATAGAATATCAGGGTTGGAAGGGACCTCAGGAGGTCATCAAGTCCAACCCCCTGCTCAAAGCACCAACTAAATCATCCCAGCCAGGGCTTTGTCAAGACGGGACTTAAAAACCTGTAAGGATGGAGATTCCACTACCTCCCTAGGTAACCATTCCAGTGCTTCACCACCCTCCTAGCGAAAAAGTTTTTCCTAATATCCAACCTAAATCTCCCCCACTGCAACTTGAGACTATTACTCCTTGTTCTGTCATCTGGTACCACTAAGAAGAGTCTAGATCCATCCTCTTTGGAACCCTCTTTCAGGTAGTTGAAAGCAGCTATCAAATCCCCCCTCCCATTCTTCTCTTCTGAAGACTAAACAATCCCAATTCCCTCAGCCTCTCCTCATAAGTCATGTGCTCCAACCCCCTAATCATTTTTGTTGCCCTCCGCTGGACTCTCTCCAATTTTTCCACATCCTTCTTGTAGTGTGGGGCCCAAAACTGGACACAGTACTCCAGATGAGGCCTCACCAACGTCGAATAGCGGGGAATTATCACGTCACTCAATCTGCTGGCAAAGCCCCTACTTATACAGCCCAAAATGCCGTTAGCCTTCTTGGCAACAAGGGCACACTCTTGACTCATATCCAGCTTCTTGTCCACTGTAACCCCTAGGTCCTTTTCTGCAGAACTGCTGCCTAGTCATTCGGTCCCTAGTCTGTAGCAGTGCATGGGATTCTTCCGTCCTAAGTGCAGGACTCTGCACTTGTCCTTGTTGAACCTCATCAGATTTCTTTTGGCCCAATCCTCTAATTTGTCTAGGTCCCTCTGTATCCTATCCCTACCCTCCAGCGTATCTACCACTCCTCCCAGTTTAGTGTCATCTTCAAACTTGCTGAGCGTGCAGTCCACACCATCCTCTAGATCATTAATTAGACATTGATCAATGGCTCAATGTCTAGTTGGCAGCTGGTATTAAGTGGAGTGTCCCAGGGGTCGGTCCTGGAACTGGTTTTGTTCAGCATCTTTATTTATGATCTGGATGATGGGATGAATTGCACCCTCAGCAAGTTTGCAGATGACACTAAGCTGGGGGGAGAGGTAGATAAGCTGGGGGGTAGAGATAGGATCCAGAGTAACCTAGACAAATCGGAGGATTGGGCCAAAAGAAATCTGATGAAGTTCAACAAGTGCAGAGCCCTGCACTTAGGAAGGAAGAATCCCATGCACCGCTACAGGCTGGGGACCAACTGGCTAAGCAGCAGTTCTTCAGAAAAGGACCTGGGGATTACAGTGGAGGAGAAGCTGGATATGAGTCAGCAGTGTGCCCTTGTTGCCAAGAAAGCCAACGGCATATTGGGCTGTATTAGTAGGAGCATTGCCAGCAGATCGAGGGAAGTGATCATTCCCCTCTATTTGGCACTGGTGAGGCCACATCTGGAGTATTGCGTCCAATTTTGGGCCCCTCACTACAGAAAGGATGTGGACAAATGGGAGAGTCCAGCGGAGGGCAACGAAAATTTTTAGGGGGCTGGGGCACATGACTTACGAAGAAAGGCTGAGGGAACTGGGGTTATTTAGTCTGCAGAAGAGAAGAGTGAGGGGGGATTTGATAGCAGCCTTCAACTACCTGAAGCGGGGGTTCCAAAGAGGATGGAGCTCAGCTGTTCTCAGTGGTGGCAGATGACAGAACAAGAAGCAATGGTCGCAAGTTGCAGTGGGGGAGGTCTAGTTGGATATTAGGAAACACTATTTCACTAGGAGGGTGATGAAGTACTGGAATGGGTTAACTAGGCAGGTGGTGGAATCTCCATCCTTAAAGGTTTTTAAGGCCCATCTTGACAAAGCCCTGGCTGGGATGATTTAGTTGGTGTTGGTCCTGCTTTGAGCAGGGAGTTGGACTAGATGACCTCCTGAGGTCTCTTCCATCGCTAATATTCTATGCCTCTAATTGTAAAAAAAACAATACTATTGAAAGATGAGTGGTTTTAAAGCCCTTTTTTCAAGCACAGGGCTAGAAGGATGTAAATAATGGCAATGGTGACTATTGGTTTCTCTTCAGCACTTGACATTTCATTGAAGATCTGAGTGATTTCAGGGAAATTCACTGGTGGCCACCATGTGCCAAACAGGCCTACCACGTATTAGTGTATCAAGATACTACTACTATTTTTAGAGCGCTAGTAGTGAGCCTCACTAACCCAAGTCTATTGACCTGGGCTGGGAGTCTTGCTCCAAAACGCTGTGGGGACATACCAAAAGCGCTTTTACAAAGGAGACCCTTTTACAGATGGGGAGACACCCAAGAAGTGAATTGATTCACCCAAGAGCTGGGATTAGAACCTATTTCTCCTGACTCTCAGGCTGGTGCCCTCGCTCCTAGATCCTATGGTTCCAAATACATTAGATAAATATGACAACTGAATAGTGAGATGTAATACAGACTCAGAGCAGTCTCTTCAACTAACAATATCTACTGTCATGTATGGCTGTTCTAGAGCCCTTACTGTATTCAAACATTTAGCATTTAACTAGGTACTGAGGAGTAACCTGCAAAATTAATTTAAAATTTAAATTTTAAAAGATAGATGTTGTGGTCAAATACAAAACACACACTGCCACACAAGGACATTAAAACATAAGCAACAGAAGTCTACAATATCTAGCAACAGAAATTCAGAATATTCAAGAGTATAACAAGCCCCAGGCTGCAATCCTTCTATACGATCCATCAATCCATCAATTCGAATGGGATAACTCATGCAAAGAGAGGTTGCAGAAACAAACCCAATTTCCTTAGTTAACTGAATGTGTTCCTTTTACACGCATGTTTTCCGGAATTGCTTTTGTATTTCCTTTTTGAAGTTCACATTTCTGAGTCAACAGACACATATTAATCACTAAAACCTATATGCATACTTAATTAAGGAAACATATAGAAGCATTTTTATTTATCATAGATGATTAACAGATACAGTTTTTCCTTATAATTAGAACCTTACCAAGTTCACAGCCATGAAAAATGCATCACAGACCATGAAATCTGGTCTCCCGGGAAATCTGGCTATTGTAGGGGAATTACAGTATTGCCACCCTTACTTCTGCACTGCCTTCAGAACTGGACTGCCAGAGAGTGGTGGCTGTTGGCAGACACCCAGCCCAGAAGGATGTGCTGCCACCAGCAGCAGCACAGAAGTAAATGTGGCATGGTATGGTATTGCTACCTTCAGAGCTGGGTGCCCGGCCAGCAGCCGCACCTCTCCAGATGCCTAGCTTTAAAGGCAGCACAGAAGTAAGGGTGGCAATACCACGACCCCCCTACAATAGCCTTGTGACCCCCCCTCCCCATAAGCCTTTTTTGAGTCGGGACCCTACAGTTACAACACCGTGAAATTCAAGATTTTAAAAATGCTATGCCTGTGAAATTTACCAACATGGACCGTGAATTGGGTAGGGCCCTACTTATAGTCATTGCAAGATATTTTCC